TAAAAATGGAGTATAAAAAGCAGTAATCATAAAACAAAAGACAGATTCACTGTAGGTCATTAGCATGAAGGATTCCTCAAGGCTGGAGATGCACCTCAGATGGAAAAGTGCTTGCCTAGCATTCCTAAACAGGGCCTGAAGATGCACACCTATGATGCCAGAACTTAGGAAATAGAGGCAAGAGGATCAGAAGTTTAAGTTCGGCCTCAGTTGCAACTTACATTTAAGGCCAGACTGAGCTACACGAGACACTTAGAGAAATACAGGAAGACATTCAGCATTGACTTCTGGCCTCTACACATATGCGTGAACATTGCACACAGTGGAAAATGCAAACTTTTTTTTTCAGTGAATGTAGAAAGTGACATTATCTGCCCATGCAGGGTAATTCTGTTTTAATACATTTTTTTCAAAGTTGTTACTTAACATTAGCTTACGAAACAGTGGATTTCCATAATGCTTGTTCTTCAGGCCTTAGTTTTCCATAACCCACCACTACCCACCCTTCTCCCTCATGCCCCTCCCTGAGCAGGTCTACAGTCTCTTTTCTTCCTAGAGGGGAAAAGCTCAAACCAACACTGCCTGTCTTGAGTGACTCTCCTACTCCAGGGTTCTTAGCCCTCCAAGCATACAACATAAGGAGCAAGGGTACTGGGAAGGACCTCAGAGTGAGGAAGGCTGTTGGCTGCCTCCCTGAAGTCAGGAGAGAAAGAAAGAGCATTGAGGGTGAGAATATACTGTCCTCCACACTTTTCTTCCTGCCATTGGTCATAATGGACCATTCAAGTCACTCTCTCAATGAAGACCCCAGAGCTGGAAAGAACATGATCTGGAGGTAAATAAAGGCACAAGACACTGGTTGAGACACTTTGTCAGCATTGGACAACTACCTAGATTCTAGAACCAGAACTCATGAAGGTGAAAGAGTAGTAAAAACAACAAGAGATGTTCTAGAATGATCCACCCACCCCTAAGAACTACCTTACCCCATACTCACACTCTAGGCAATAAACAGACCCACTAAGGAAGAGGGGTGCAGCTGTCTTAGGATGGCTTTCTGCCTTCTGGGCATGGATGATTTGTCAACCAACAGCCTTGACTAACAAGCCACCTTTGATCTCCTCATGGCCTTGAATGTGTGGTGCTCTAAAATCAGATTAAACCTGATGTGGTTTGTCAATAGCAAGGAGCTAGATGAGGAAGAGCACTTGAGAGTGGTAGGTGTGCCCTGGAAATCTTTCTGTTGTTTGAGATACAATCGGTAACTAAGATAAGGGAGAAAGATAAGAACACAGCAGAGATCCTAGGACCAAGAAGCCCCAAGTGTTTCACCCTCTGGGTGCCTGACCCTCCTTTCCTAAAATGTGCTCCCCAGGGTGGTGAGAAAGAGTCAGATTATCACTTGGATCTGAGCTAATATGAGGTTGTTCTCAGAGCCAGGTCGGAAGAACAGTTGGAAAATGAGGTGGTAAGTTCAACTCCTTGTAGCACGAATTCTAATTGTTCTTAATAACAAAAGTTCACAGTCAGATATTGGAGTTAATGTTGGAGATTAGAGAAGCAAAGTGGTTAGTTACCACTACTTAACAGCTAATATCCGCATGTAAGTAAACCCATACCACATTTGTCTTTCTGTGTCTAGGTTATCTCACTCAGAATGATTTCTTTCCAGTTCCAATCATTTACATGGGAATTTTATAATTTCATTTTTGTAATGACTGAGTAATATTACACTGTGCAAGTATACCATATTTTCTTTATCTATTCATCAATTGAGGGACATATATCTTGTTTCCAATTTCTAGATATTATAATTAGAACAAGAGTGAATATGGTTGAGCAAGTGTCTCTGTGGTAGAGTGAAGAGTCCTTTATAAATATGGGTAGCAGTGTTATAGCTGGATCTTGGAGTAGAGTGATTCCTTCTCTTCCTGAAGAACTACCACACTGATTTCCACGGTGGCTGTTCAAGTTTTCAGTCCCACAAGTGTTCCTTGCTCCACGTCCTCACCAGCATGAGCTATTTATCTGCTATTGCTAGGAGTCTAAGCTGGGGCACTCCCTGTAGACTCCTGGGAGATTTCCCTGCACCAGACTTCCACCTGACCCCAAAATTCCACCCACCAGGCCCTGCATCACTCTCCCTCTCCAGTTCCCCCAACCTGATCACTCCAAATTCTCATCCCCACCACCCTCAGTCCACTCACAAAATCTCTTCTATTTCCCCTTCCCAGGGAGGTCTAGATGTCCCCCCATGAACTGTCCTTGGTATCTGTCTCTCTGGATCTATGAATTGTAGCATGGTCCTCCTTTATATATAGCTAATATCCACTTATGAGTGACTACATACCACATTTGTCTTTTCTGAGTCTGTGTTACTTCACTCAGGATGATTTTTTTTCTATTTATATCCATTTGCCTTCAAATTTGCTGGTGTCCTTGTTTTTAACAGCTAATACTCCATTGTGTAAATGTGCCACATTTTCTTTATTCATTCCTCAGTTGAGGGACATCTAGGTTGTTTCCAGATTCTGGCTTTTACAGATAAAGCTGCTATGAATACAGTTGAGCAAGTGTCCTTGTGGTGCGATTGAGCATTCTTTAGGTATATGCCCAAGAGTAGTATAGCTGGGTCGTGTGGTAGATTGATTCCTAGTTTTCTAAGAAACCACCACACTGACTTCCAAAGTAGCTGTACAAGTTGGCACTCCCACCAGCAATGGAGGAGTGTGCCCCTTGCTCCACATCCTCTCCAGCGGGAGCTGTTGCTTGTGTTTTTTATCTTGGCCATTCTGGCAGGTGTATGATGCAATCTCAGATGTTTTGAGTTGCATTTCCCTAATAGCTAAGGAAGTTGAACATCTAAATGTTTCTCCACCATTTGAAATTCTTCTGTTGAGAATTCTTTATTTAGATCTATATCCTATTTTTAATTGGATTATTTGGTTTGTTGATATCAAGTTTCTTGAGTTCTTTTTATATTTTGGAAATCAGTCCTCTGTCCAATGTGGGGTTGGTGAAGATCTTTTCCCATTCTGTAGGCTGCTGTTTTGTCCAATAGACAGTGTTCTTTGCCTTACAGAAGCTTTTCAATTTCATGAGGTTCCATTTATTGATTGTCAATCTTAATGCTTGTGCTTTTGGTGTTGAGTTCAGGAGGTTGTCTCCTGTGCCAATGTGTTCGAGATTTTTTTCCTACTTTCTCCTCTGTCAGGTTCAGTGTATCTAGATTTATGTTGAGGTCTTTGATCTATTTTGACTTGAGATTTTACAGGGTGATAAATATGGATCAATTTGCATTCTTCTACATGCCAATATCCAGTTAGACCAGAACCATTTGTTGAAGATGCTATATTTCTTCCACTGTATAATTTTGGCTTCCTTGTTGAAAATCGGGTGTTCATAGGTGTGTGGATTTTATATCTGGCTCTTCAATCCCATTGATCTACCTGTCTATTTTTATTCCAAAACCATGCTGTTTTTATTACTATAGCTCTATAGTAGAGCTTGAAATTGAAATTGGGGGTGGTGATACCTATAGAGGTTCTTTTATTATATTCTTTTATTATGATTGTTTTAGCTATCCTGGATTTTTTTTTGGAGTTTTTTCATATGAAGTTGAGTATTGTTTTTTCAAGATCAACACAAAGAATTGTGTTGGGATTTTAATGGGATTATGTTTTACCTGCAGATTGCTTTTGGTGAGGTGGCCATTTTTACTAAGTTAATCCTACTGATCCAATGAGCATGAGAGATCTTTCCATCTCCTGATATCTTCTTCAAATTCTTTGTTTCAAAGACTTGAAGTTCTGTCATACATGTCTTTCACTTGTTTGGTTAGAGTTACCCCAAGATATTTTATATTATTTGAGGCTATTGTAAAGGGTGTTGATTCTCTGATTTCTTTCTCAGCCCATTTTCTGTTTGTATATAGAAGAGATACTGTTTTTTCAAGTTAATTTTGTATCCAGCCACTTCACTAAAGCTATTTATCAGCTGTAGGAATTCCCTGGTAGAATTTTGAGGGTCACTTATGTATGTTATCATATCATCTGTGAATAATGATACTTTGACTTCCTTCTTTACAATTTGTAACCCTTTGATTTCTTTTAGTTGTCATACTGTTCTAGCTAAAACTTCAAGTACTATATTGAATAGAGTAGACAACCTTGTCTTGTCCCTGATATTAGTGGAATTGCTTTGATTTAATTTAATGTTGGCAATTGGCTTGCTGTATATTGCTTTTATTATGTTTAGATATGACCTTTATATGCCTTATCTCTCCAAGTATTTTATCATGAAGGTTTGTTGGATTTTATCAAAGGTTTTTTTCAGCATCCAAGAAAATGTTTTTTTTTTCTTTCAGTTTCTATATATGGTGGGTAACACTGACATTTTCCTATGTTAAACCATCCCTACATCTCTGTGATAAGGCCTACTTAGTCATGATAGATGATCTTTTTAATGTATTTCTGGATTCGGTTTGCTAGTACTTTATTGAGTATTTTTGCATCTATGTTCATGAATGAAATTGGCCTATAATTCTCTTTCTTTGTTTAATCTTTATGTAGTTTGGGTATTGGGGTGACTGTGGCCTTATAGAAAGAATTTGGCAAAGTTCCTTCTGTTTCTATGTTGTGGAATAATTTGAAGAGTATTAGTATTAGCTCTTTTTTGAAAGTCTGGTAGAATTATGCACTAAAACTGTCTAATCCTGGGCTTTTTTGCTTGGGAAACTTTTAATGACTGCTTCTATTTCCTTTGGGTTTATCTATTTAAATTGTTTATCTGATCTTGATTTAAACTTAAGTAAGTGATTTCTATCAAGAAATTTGTCCATTTCTTTTAGATTTTCTAGTTTTGTGGAGTACACATTTTTGAAGTATGGCCTAATGATTCTCTTTATTTCCTCAGAGTCTGTTGTTGTGTCCCCATTTCATTTCTGATTTTGTAGATTTGGATATTTTCTCTCTGCCTTTTAGTTAGTTTGGATAAGGGTTTTAAAATATGAATGCTTAACAAATTTGCATGTCATCCTTGTACAGGGAGGGGTCATGCTAATCTTCTCTGTATCATTCCAATCTTAGTTTATGTGCTGCTGAAGCAAACACTCACAAAGGCTATTTTAAGGTCTTTGTATTGTGCTTCAGCTATGTTGGAATTCTCGGGGCCTCCTGTAGTAGAACAGCTGGGATCTGATGACTGTTATTGATGGTGTTTTTATGCTGGAGCCTAGGTCCTGGGTTTGAGATTATTGTAATTCTAGGTGCTAATATCTGGTCTTGTCTTTGTTGAGTGGGTGTTTTGTTCCTTGGTTTCTGTTGCCCTCTCTGGTTCCTGGGAGAGTGTGGTGTCTGAGCACTGTCTGGAAGGTAATTCTTCTGAGATCCTGCTAGGTATGGCCACTGGGGAGTCCCAGTAAAATGTGTTTCTAGGTATCAGGAGCTGACACTTAGGAAAGGGGCTGGGCTAAGAGGAGTGGGCTGATGGGGTCCACAGGAGAGAGGAAAGCAGGGTGTTTCACCAAGATCTACTTAGTCCTCTTGGGATGGGGGCAGAGAGCAAGGAGAGGATGCAATAGGTAGTCTGCTGCAAGGCTGGGGGTCTGGATTTGGAGCCAAGGAGAGAAGAGCTAAAGCATTCCTATCAGCTTTGATGGCCTGCTTCCCTCTATGGCAGGTTTGGCTGGCAGGTTCCAGGGAATTCCTGCTGGAGTTATGGGCTGAGATAAAACGATGAACAGGAGCAAGGAAGGTTCAAAGAGAGATCTGAACCCAGAAAAGACCTAGATGGCTCTCTGGTTCCCACAAGGCTACAACTACTTGATGTGGAGGGGTTTTTGTGTGTGTGTGTGTGTGTGTGTGTGTGTGTGTGTGTGTGTGTGTGTGTGTGTGTGTACCCTGACCAAAAGTGTGCAACACATACATTAGTGTAAATGCAAGAGCATAGGTATACATGAAGGCCAGGGATACCCTTGGCTATCATCCCTCAGGTGCTGTCATTCCATCCATTTGTTTTGTTTTCTGAGACAGGGTCCCTCCCTAGCCTGGAGCTTGCCAAGTAGACTGGCAGCCCCAAGGATCCTCAGGGCTTACAAGCACACACTGCCTCATCCAGCCTTCTGCTTTTTACCTTGGTTTCGAGAATTGAACTCAGGACCTGGAGCTTGCACAATAAGTACAGTACTCACGGGGACATCCCGGCAACCTTTTCCGTCCTCTCTCTGAGTCATGTTTACCTCCAGGCAGTTTTGAGATGAAGGAGACCCCTCTCTTGTGCTAGCACCTCTCTGCCCAGTTTCAGCATCATCCACAGCTAATCTTAGTCATGCGCGAGCCTTCCAGGTACACAGCAAACCTCAACCAGGGCCCAGTGGCACTGTCAGCATTCAGACTGCCAGGACCTCATTTCCAAGGAAGAGCTCTGCAAAGCCAACCTGCTCTGGAAGCAGGCCCTGGGCTGGGTTCTGCATTTGTTTTCCTGTCGGTTTTGCGGGTTT